CCGGGCCGGGGGGGGGGGGCCCCCCCCCCCCCCCCGCCAGCCAGCCCAGCTCAAGGGCAGAGGAAAGGACCAACGGAAGGAAACCATCGGCCTCACAAAAACGCTGCCTCCCAGCCTGCTCTCAGGGCATCTGCCGTCCTAAGTACAGCCTCCACCCCTGCCCGTGACCCTGAGGGGCCCCTGAGGACACTCGCCGAGAAGGTCAGCCCCTCGCCCGGCCCGGCCCCAGCGGCAGGCTGGAGGTCGCATCCCACTGTGCGACAACTCGCCGAGGGGCAGGGGGCCTCCCCACCTCCGAGCCTCGGTTTCTTTATCTGCACACGGAGGCCACCGAGGTCCACAGCAGGGAGAGACGAAGGCTGGGACAGGAAGGACGTGGTCACCTGTCCCACCCCGGGAAGCCCAGAGAAGGGGAGAGACAGAGACCTGAAGAAACAGTGACCCCCGCACATCAACAGGAACATCGGCTGGAACGTTTGGGATCGGGCCACACCGACTGCCAGAGGCCCCTCCTCTGGGCCGCAGCGCTGCCTCAGTTTCCCTCTCCAGGTGGGGGCCTCCAGGGCCCTCAGTTGTGCTCATGCCCTGCCCGTCCACGCCCCACTGCCGTCGCTGAGCCAAACCACCCGCGGGGCTTGAGAGGGGCTGGGTCCCCCGCACTGATTCATCCAGCAGCCCGGCCACCCTCCAGAGGTCACGCCCAGGCCTCCCACAGCCCCCTGGACCCCACCCTCGGCCCCAGATCCCCCAGGCCCACTGCCTCGCTCTCCAAATGCCTCCAAGCCGGCAGGCAGCCGAGCTTCTCTCCAACAAAACAAAAACCCTCATGCAGCAAAACGCAGCATCACCCTCCAGAGCCGGCTCCCCAGAGGCCAAGCGAGGCCGGCACTTCCATGGGGACTGGCGACACCAGCCACCGTGGCCACAGGAAGACACCTGCCTCAGGGGCCGGGCCATCTCCTGCCTGGGTGTGTGAGAGGGGGCTTGGCCGCAGCCCACCCACAGGGCCTCAGCCCGTGAGGGACCCAGAGAGGGGTGGCCACGGCCCAGAGATGCCAGCGGGTACAGACAGCAGCCCCAGTGTCCCCCACCCGGTCAGCACCTCCAGGTCCACATGGACTGTGGGTTTCCAATCAGAAGGTGGGACTGCGTGGTACCTGCTCTGGGCCTCAATGGCCCGTCTGCACCAGGCCCTGTCCCCGTGCCCGTGGGCAGAGAAGGTGAACAGCAGGGTGACGGGTGTGGACCGCTGTGGCCGTTGCTGCTCCCACACGAGAGACCCTGGGGCCAGCGCCACTGTCGCCCACACGGCCACACTTGCACAGCCACAGGCAGGCACCACACAGACAAGCACGCACACATGCACTTTACGCGCAGACACGCATGTGTACCCAGATGCTGCAGACGTTGCGTACGTGGACACGTTCGTGCAGATGTGGGTGCAGCGCACACGCAGGCACACTCGCGTGCACACGCAGGCACTCATTCCACAACTGCACAGACACACATGTGAACACGCCAGTGGTCAGGCCGCCATGCACACACAGAATCACGCGGCAGCCTGCCACACACAGACACGCACCTCCCGGGACCCTCAGGACACTCGTGTGTTATAGAGAAGAACACGCAGCCACACGCAACCACATGTAACCACACAAACAGCAACCCAATGTGACTCTCAGGCACATCTGCACCCCACGTACAAAGATGCACAAGGATGCACACGCGCTGCCAGGCAAATACACACAAAATGCAGTGGCCGGGCCAGGTGAGGGCAGCCAGGCCGGGTCCAAGCCAGGGACCTGCCCAGCCCATTCCAGCCTGGCTGGAAACAGGCCCAGAGATGCCCCGCAGCCAGTTCAGGGACGCTCAGCCCAGGTGGGGTGGGAGCCGGTCAGACAGACGCTGGACAGCAGCCGGTGGGCGGGGGACCGAGGCCGGGTGGCCCCACCCTAGGGTGGCCCAAGGAGGTGGGTGCGGGGCTCCCTTGGCAAGGCCACGTCCACCAGCTGCGTGTGCGCAGGACATGCCCTTCACAACAGGGAGAATGCAACTGGGGAAACACAGCCACATACTTATTACCTTGGTGCAGGTACCGGGCTGGCCGGGTAGGCGGGTGGCCGACCTCGCTGCCCCGCTGCCCGTGCCTGTGGGGCCCCCATCTGAGTACAGCAGCCCCTCCAGCTGCCCCCTTGCTGGCCTATCCATTGAGTGTGTCCGTCCCCTTCTCACAGTGCCTCTCATGCATGCGTCCCTCACACTCAGGGTCCCTACCTCTCTCCCCACGTCTCCTCCATCTGATGTCGTCACCAACCTCTGCTCCAACCCCGTTCCTGTCTCCCCAGCCCACCCTGCCTCCTGCCTGGGTCCTGGCTGCCGGCCTTGCACCTCCAGACTGATGCCCGCATCACCCAGGCACAGGCTCCAATCCAGCCACCCGCAGACACCCAGTCTCCTAAAGGGTCCCCGTGCTGCCGAGCTCCACTTCTGCAGAGCCCTGCAATGTTGCGACGAAACCCTGATTCTGGACGGATCTGGGCTTCCTGGGCAAGGTGTTCCCCCAGGCACAGTCACCATCAACCCCGGATGCCCCAGGCAGGAGGAAGAGGAGGGTCTTGGTCCTGCCGGGTCTGCTCTGCGGACCAGCAAGGCCGTCCCCTCGGGCAGCAGTTGGAGCGGGGCTGTCAGGTCAGACCCAGAGCAACAGGAGGTGGCCAAGTGGCCGGCCCAAGACAGGCACTGGGGAGGTCACCTCCTTCCCCTGGCCAGGGGTCCCGCCTGCGGTCCACGGCCCTGTGGCAGGTGGGGGCAGCAAGGTGGCCCTGCCGACCCTCTTCCTTCCCCATTGCTGGCTCCTCCTGTGTTTGGCGTTTGCTAGAACAAAGGACAGGCCAGGCTGGGGACCGGAGATTCCAGAGCTGAAACCAAAAACTTGGGCCAAGGAAGCGCTGCCCGCTGGGCTCCCTGCGCAGCCGGCGACAGGGAAGAGCCTTAATCAAACCCACATGTGACCGGCACAGCGAGCAGCATGGGGACCAGCTCCTCGGTGGCCCAGTCGTCCCTCCGCAGCCCAGGGTCCCTGCCCTCGACGCTGGGGGCCCCAACCCCACAGCCAGGCAACCGAGGGGGGTATCTGGGCTGGCTCCCCACCCCCACAGTGGAACACGGGCCGCCCTTGTCCCAGAGCCTGCCTCAAAGACAGTCCTTTATGCAACTTTCTGCCTGGGGATCGGGGACAGCAGGGGACAGCAGGCTCCAGAGGGCGGCTCGGACGGCACAGGAAGCGGCTGGAAAGCGGAGAGAAAGTGACCGGTGGCAGAGAATCAGGGAGTGGGACACTGGCTGCCTTGCCTGGGATGTGCAGCCCCGCCAGCCGTGGACCGACCCTGAGCCTCGGGACCCCCAAAGCCCTGACTCCCATGGGACTCCCAGTCTGCTCTGGCCTCTGAGACCCCCGAATGGGCAGGAGGACCTGGTCAGTCACCAGCAAACTTTTCTCACCCAGACTAAGTGACGGGGCTCCTTCTGCCCCCAGTGCATTGTGCTCAGTGCCTGGCATGGCCCAGGTCCGAAACACAGGGGGTTGTGCAGTAGGCGGGCAGGGCACCTCGGCCGGGTGTGGCAAGCTGGGTGCGAGGCCACCCGGGTCCCCATCCCCAGTCTCCTCCCCTCGCGGTGACCTTGAGTCAGCCCTCTTCCCCTTCTGCGCCTCAGTTTCCCCCATCAGCGTCAGAAGCACAGAAGAGGACACTACCCTGTCGCACCTCCCATGACTGCCCCCAGCCCCCTTGGTCCCTCAGTCTCCCTGTCCCTCCAAAGCTGGAATCCCGGACCCCTGGACTGAACGCAGTCGCCGGGTCAGTAGGAAGGGACCCTCCAACTTCCCCAAGTTCAGCTGCAGACCCACCCGCAGGACGCGCCCCAGACTCCCGCCCGAGGGCATCGTCCCCACCGCTGGGGCAACGTCCCCAGGGATCCCCGCCAACTCTGAAGCCGACGGGGGTCCCCCGAGTCCAGGAAGGGAACTCAAGAGGCCGCAGGGCTTGGACGGTGCCAGAGGGGTTCCCCAAGCTCGTGGAGACGTGGGCACCCCGGGGACTGCGGGGCTCGAGTCCCCCGAGTCGGCCCGGCAGAGGGGCGTCCCGGTGGGGGGGTGCCCGAGGGGCGCGTGCCCCCCAAACTCCGGGGGGCCGGCGCTCCCTGGGGGCCTCCCCG